GTATGTATGTATGTATGTATGTATGTATGTATGTATGACTGTGGTCATGTATAGGTCACAACAGCGCGGCCGGCAAGGTCAGGGAATTGATACAAGTCAAAATCGGGAAACTAGACGCAGATATTAGGCTCATAGCTTTTCTCTTGGCTAGGGAATTTGATGGTTTCCCATTCGCTTTCTCTCCTTGTAGAATCCAAGGTAAACCTAAGGTAGCCCGTTTCTGTATTGTATTTTTTAATGTACACATTGAAATTCTGGCGGTGCTCGTCTCTAAAATTCGAAACCCGTGATTTAATTTGTATTTTAAAATAAGCTCACTTCAAGCAAAAAATTCAAATAGCTTTATCTTTTAATTTTGTTGTTCTTCACACTACATTTCGTCCTTCTATGCAGCTCGACCAGAGTGAGCATTTCGTCATGAATAGTATACAAGTCAGCGTCCACGATCGAGTAAATATGCCCTAAAATCTGAGTGATGGATATTAGACAAATTAGCATCCAAGAAACTGCCTAGATCTACTTTTTGCACGAGAGATTTATTGTCCAATCATGTAACACACAATTGCCAAGATAGGAATATTCGATTATCAGTTGAGTAAGGCGGGACGAAAGTTTGGTCACCAAGTTTTAACGTAAAAATCGCGTTGTTGTTACGAGCAACTGGCTCCGTATCCATCGGCAACTTGTCGGCCTTTGACGTCATTGGCAGCAAAGCGCGCGAAGTTGTAGGCGACGCGACAGGTGATGCACGGCTGTTGATATTGTTACCAACGGAAACGAGGTAAGTTGCCAGTGACAACACCATAATTTTAGACCCAAAGGTTCGTACCCAAACTTCCCTCGCGCCTTAATCAACTGATAATAGTAGTAAAATACTGTGATTTCCGTTTCCAAGAAAGAAACTATTATTATTTTTATTGCCTACGTTACAATCAGCAATACCTGTGTATTTTGCAATGCATCAAGCTGGCGGGGAACTCGCTATAGTTGTCTCAAGGTGCACTTTTTATCAGGCGGGAGGTATGACAAAGAGGCACGGATTTTAAACATTCATTGCTAACTTATCCACGAAAAGAGATGTAACAGGTCTACTGTATGTATGTGAAAGAGGTTTCAAGCTGGAAGTCACATGTGACACGGTAACTACTTCTGGAAAAAAAACACCATCCAAAGGGAAAGTATTTGGAACTTGGGGCAGTGCAACCTTTTGTAAAACTTGGTTAGGTCCCTTCTTCCTCCCCAAGTTTAACGGGGTCATTGCTAGTAGCACGAAGGTGGAGAGGCCATCATGATGGGTAAGCGAGCGGGGAAAAGCCCTCATGGAGTGGACCCCAGTGAGCAAGCGGTCATTTCAGCTAGATTCTGCTCCCGCTTCAGGAGGCTGTCAGTGATCCAGGTCTACGCGCCACACAACGAGAGGTAGGAGGAAGAGAAAGAACACTTCTATGAGGAGCTGCAGCAGACGATAGACGAATGTAACAGGAGCGACATTGTGGTAGTGATGGGCTACTTCAACGCCAAGGTGGGAGGAGACAAAGGATACGAAAGTAGCATACGGAGACACGGGATGGGAGACAGGAACGACAACGGAGAGAGGCTCTGCGATTTTTCCGTGGCAAATGGTCTGGCCATCACAGGAATATTGTCTCAGCACAAGGACGTTCACAAGACAACATGGGTCTTAGCAAACGGGAGAGTGAGGAATAAGATCTACCATCTTCTGATCAGTAGGCAGTTGAAATCTGCAGTTCTCGACCCTTCAGTGCAGAGGGAGGCCGATGTCAACAGCGACCACTACCTCGTCAGGACCAAGATCCAGCTGAGACTCGGCAAGTATGGCAACGTGAAAAAGTTCAAGCCCAGGTTCAACAGAGACAGACTGAAGGACACAGGTATAAGACGGATTTACTGTGAGGTAGTGAGGAGGAGGCTCGAGGAGAACAGAATAGAGGAAAGAAAAGCGATAGAGGAGTTGTGGGAGGCCCAGAGTAAGGCATACGTGGAGGCAGCAGAGGAGGTCCTTGGGTTCCGCAAAGGCAAGAGCAAGCTCTGGATCAGCCACAAACGTGGAAGGTGATAGACGAGAGGAAGGAAATCAAGACCAAACTGGACAGCACTAAATCAGAGAGGGCACGGAAAGGGATCAGAGAGTAGTAAAGGCAGAAGGATAAGGAGGTGAAGAGAAGCGTGGGAGAGGATACCAGGAAGTGGATGACAGAGTCGGCCCAGGCGACACAGACAGCAGTAGAGAACCTGAGAGCTAAGGAGCTGTGAGACATCAACAGACAACTGAGCGGCAGGGGGCTGAGGAAGACGGCGGCAATCACTAACAAGGATGGAAATCTTCTCAAGACGAAGGAAGAAAGGCAGGCGAGATAGAAGGAGCACTTTGAGGGAGTCTTGAATAGGGAGTCACCACCAAACCCAAATCGACGGATGAGGAGATGAGGGAGGGGCAGCTAGAAATCTACACGGAGCCACCAACACAGGAGGAAACCAAAATGGTGGTGCAGACTCTCAAGAATGGCAAGGCAAGAGGAATTGACCAGATAACAACAGGACTGTTGAAGGTTGACACAGAAAGCACTTGCGTGGAACTCAAGCGCCTATTTGACCTGATTTGCAAGAAGAGAAACTGTCGGAGAAGTGGAAACAGGGACAGATATGCAAGATTCCGAAGACAGGGAACCTACAGCAACGTGGTAATTGGATAGGATTGGCGCGGCTACCTATTGCTAGCAAGGTGCTGGGAAAGATTCTGATCAGCAGAATACAAGGCAGTGCGGACCACAGGCTGAGGAAAGAGTAGGCATGGTTTAGACCAGGAAGAGGCACAGTCGAACAGATCTTCATCCTACGTAACATCTTGGAGCAAGTAAACGAATGAAATGCAACCATCCATGTACTTTCATTTCGTCGACTTCGAGAAGGCGTTTGACTTGGTGTACAGAGACAGCCTGAGGAGGATAATGAGAGCGTACGGGATTCCAGACAAGCCGATAGGAATGGTGAAGGTGCTGTATGACGAATTTACATGCGCAGCGATCGACGAAGGAGAAATAACGGAGAAATTACCGGTGGTCAACGCCGTGAAGCAAGGATGTTGCATGTCGGGATTCCTGTATTTAATGGTCAATGACTGGGTGATGAGGAAGACGGTGGACGAACAGAGGACAGGCATCAGATGGGACTTTCCAAGGCTACTGGCAAACATTAACTATACGCAGACGGCCCGCTTCTGCTAACATCAAGAGCAGACCATATGCAGGGAAGAAGCAGCCAGGCTAAGGGAGAATGCAGGCAGGGCAGGATTGAAGCTGACCCTACAGAAATTCAAGTGGATGAGGGTCAACAGCAGGAACAACGAGGGACTGAAAGTAAGAGACAGCATGGTGGAGGAAGTGGACAGTTTCAATTACCTGGGGGCGCAAGTGACGAAGGACGAAGGACGAAGGAGCAACATTGGACATCAAGATAGAAGAGGATAGCGCTGGCTTATGCAAGCTTCAACGGGCTGAACAAGATCTGGCACGCAAGACACATCAGGAGAAAGACAAAGACAAGGCTTTTCAAGACGCAAGTGGTGCTTTCAGTGCTTCTCTACGGCTGTGAAACGTGGAACACGACAAACGGAAAGGAAAAGAAGCTTGACATCTTCCAGACCAAGAGCCTCCTAATCTTCCGCATCAGATGGCAGCAGCGCCTGCTAAACAAGGAAGTGCTGGAGATGGCAGGAACAGATCCAATAAGTGGGGAGGTAAGAAGGAAGAGATGGTGCTGAATTGGACATGTCTTGAGGAAAGAAGTGAACAACGACTGTACTGTTGCCCTTGGATGGAGGCCGGAGGGGAAGACAAGCAGAAGCAGACCCAAAACTACCTGGCGTCGCACTGTAGGGAAGGAGAGAGAGACAAGGTTGGAACAGATGGATAAGAGCAAGACAGGCAGCAAACAACCGCCAGCAGTGGAGGGAAGATGTCCGGGCCTTGTGGCTCCAGTCGCCAAGAAATTTAACTTCAGCTACCATCGCCAGTTGCTCTGATTGTGTTGGCCACTGTATTTCTATGGTATGAGATAAAATAGTTATGCAACCCTTTCTCGTCGTATACCATGGAATATCTAACTCGTCACATGAATTTTCTTGGTATACACACTCGCTGAAAGGCTCGTACGTGATCAGGGCGACCACCTTGATCGTTTTGTGACTCCAAGCTTTTAATTTGGCGCCAAAAAATGGGTCGCCTACGTTCTAAGTTAGTATTGTCTGTATTTTTTTTAGTTGCCAAGAAAAAGTCCATTATTGTGTCGTTTCAGAAGGACAACTCGGATTTGACTGTCGCTAGTTCTGTGGGCGTAGCGACTGCAAGGGGTCAAGCAAATCATTTTTTCGCCTCGAGGAACATTGAGGGTCTCAGAGAAACAAAACTCACTGTTTCCCTTGGGGCCAGTCATTAAGGTGATTCCTCATAATTGCATTGCGCATCCCTACTGCGCACGATTTTCGAGTCATTAGCGCGCGCTCACGAGCGTTTCAAGAAAACCGGCTCAACATTGATAACAATAGGTATTGTTATAAGACCTAAAATTGGTCTTATATGGTCATTTTGAACAATGGCGGTATAAGCTTCTAAATGCCCGCGGGAGTTTCTGAAATTTCCGATTACCATACGAGCGCGAAATTTAAACGATCGGAAAGACTGAACGGAAGACAAATTCTCCTCAGGGGAGATGGTATTGGTATAATCCTGTCGGTGCAAATAGCTGCGCTGGGGTGGCTGGTGGGGTGGCGGTTGTACACATGTATTTAAAAGTGAAA